TGATAAAGATTGTTAATATTTTCTCATGTGTCAGTACATTTTACGCATTCTAGTTTTCATTATTTTAGTAATAATAATAGTCGTTCGACGATAGCCAGTCGAATAAATCGAATAAATAAGAGGTTACAAGTTAGCGTAAAAAAAAGATCAAATGTCATCAACAAAATACATAATTTCATTCATTAAAAAAATGATTCATTTAGTTATCATTTTTTTGGTCTTGCTACTCTAAGCATATGAACAGCATGTCTTGGAACTGTTCATCAGTAATGTTGTGTAGGCCTAGTCTACAACCTGATGAAATAATTTTTGATTTTATTTGAAAGAAATTTCTAAGCCATCATCGAATTTTTAAAATCCACTGAACTACACATGCTGCCCAACTGTGTGTAACTTCTTTACAGTCCAACATATTTGTCCAAGGTTGTTAAATGGTATTTTGTATATTTAAATCTTACAAATAATAAATCAGCTGTCACAATCATGATCAATATGAGTAGTTCCTAATGGATTGACTATGTAACTTGGATGGTATTTCTTTTTCGCCGTTTAGTCCTAAATGAATTCCTTTCAAGTAAATATTTTTAATACATATTTAATAATAAAAAAAATGCTATTGTTTACCTTATTCTTTCGTAATTACAATTTCCTGAAATAATGTGAACTTTCAATAAAGATAATAATTCATTACTTTTTTTTAAAAATACTTTATTATCAATCATTATTTTTATGGAGAGAAATTAAATCTGAAGGAAATTCACGCTAATCATAAAGAATAAACTGGCCTTATTATTTTAAAAAAATGTAGTAGAAAATAATTATATCTTACAAACAACAGTTTCTAACTAAATGTTTCAAAATTATTTTAACGAGTTAGCAATCAGAAAATTTAATTTCTCTTACACTAGCATTGGGAGCACTGGTTTAAGCATAATTTCATAGTGATTAAAATTGCAGTTAAAACGTTGCAAAAGTGTTTGCATAAAATCATTTTAGTATTCAAAGATGATACCTCTGAAGAATTTGATACTTTCTGAGGAATTATAATCAATAGATACATATACTTTGAACTGACCACATTAGCTGAACAAGAAGTGTAGCTTTTACTGAAATCTTTTGTCGTCTGAAAGCTGAGAGCTCGAAAGATGTGCTGTAGAAGGAACAAGTGATCATTTTGTTTCATGTGGCATAAACTTGAAAGATTATTCTCGGAGGTCTCTCTTAAGTAATACCACTCATAACAAAATATTGAAAACCACTATATGGTAAAATACAGTTATTATATTTATTGAAGATGGTAAGATCAGACGGAAGTCTAATGACTTGTTAGATTTAAATGCTTACAGTGTAGTACTCTGAATATAATCAATAGTCCTTTATAAGTTATTGCAATAAAAATGCAGCATGTACATTTTCTTGGGAAAAATATTGGTTTCACAAAGTAATATGAGGGGTATTGTAACGACTTGACAAATGCTGATGATAAATCTGTTGTTTTTACCTAAAGACGAACTACTAACTGTTGCGTGTTCAACGGAGGAAAAATGGAATGACTCGATGTTCGAAATAACGCAGAACAATAAATGAAGATATACTTATTTAACAAGCCCTGATATACATATTGTGAGATATATAGTTTTAAATGTTCGGTCAGCAGATGGGTTTGAATGAACTGAATCGGTAGAAGTTAAGGAAATTAATCCTTGGTCACGTCATTTCTGCTTCATGTTCTATGAATTTTTTGTTTAGGCTTACCTTAGTTGATTAAGTTTTGAGTCAAGTGGAATACACTAGATATATTAGGTCCGAAATATCGAATAAGGATAAATGTGTGTCTATGAGCTTGTATAGTTAAGTGAGAATAAAGCCCAATAATCAGACCAGAGATTACTATGAGATGTAATTAACTATTAAGTAATTATTTTTAAAAAGTGTGCACAAACCATTGTTTAATCGCGATTTACTATTACATAACTTTAAGAAAATTATTGAACACTCATGAAAACCTGAACTAAAGTGTGTTGTTTGGTAAACTAACTTTCCTGACTAAAACGTCAGCCATTTATATAATATGACGGCATATAATCATAACAGTTCTCATTACTTATATCTGACTTCATATTATTTTCAAAAAATGTGTTTTCACTAGATTATATGCTAACAGATTTATTGGAATACACTGTGCTAATTAATATATGTTTAGTATAAATATCAATTCATTTTGTTTTTCTGCGCATTAACGTATTAGACATAACTTCACTTAATGTTATTTTGTTACTAGTGTTATTTCACATGCTCAGTTTAATTCAATCAAATAGTATAATCCAATCATACATGTTTGCAAATGTGCAGGCTTGAAAAAAAAGTATTTTCCTGTGATTCAATACACATATTTTGATAATTTAATAAACGGCTACATTGTGTTCAAACAAGTAGATAAGGTATGTAGTGAAGTAGAAATCATTTTTAGATTTTAAAAATCAATAAACGTTATTATTATTTATTTCATGCATGTTGTTACAATCGATTAGAAATATGTATTATTTGATTCAATGGTTCACAATGAGAATTAAGCGTTGTGGATTAGTTTATCAGTTTGATCAGTATTTATCAATGCTGGTAATTAAAAGAAATGGTTTTATCGACATCGCATCTTAATGTGTTGCTGTCATTAAAACCAAATTCTTCATAAATTTCTTACAAAAGGTGATAAAATCTGGTAGAATACATCCTATAAAGAAAGTATAACCAAGAAGACTAGGAAAACTGGGATGAGCAAGCATAGCGTCTAAGAGGAAAAAATGGGTAGTAGTGATTTATAACTGTTTTAAGGAAGATATTCAAAGTCATTTTCCACATCCTCCAATATGTACAATGTAAACGATGAAAATGGCTAATGACTTCTATGGTTAAAATGAGCTGAAGTCGAGAATAAAATCAGCGAATTACAAAAACTGATTAGAAGTTGTATTTGCAGAGGTGTAAATTGGCTAGCAGTAGAATCCAGGACGAACATTTCGTCTTACTTGGAGCTAATCAGCTGGATAAACTTACATCTGCGTAAAAACTCACCCAGGGACTCGGACCCAGTACCGTCCACTTCGGATTTCATAGTATTATCCACCCTGCTACTGAGTTTAGATAGCCTCTGGCTTGTGTAATGGGCTGAAGATTAGTTCAGTTGCATTAATTGTTCGAATTTTTTCCGTTTATGTTTAAGACTACAATTGGTAAGTTTTTTTTTATACGTTTACCGTGTGTGGGTTCCATTGACACTCCCTTTAAGTTACAACCGTTAATAGCGAAAGTGGGTAGTAGCTAGTAGTAGAATCTAAAGGCAATACAAAGACATTCCCCCTGGATGTATTTTATATGAAAGAGATTGATCATTTATAGTCCTAAATATTAATGGGGAAATTCAAAGGACCAATAAAAACTAATGATAAGAAGTTTGTCTGCAGTAGTCAGGAAATTATGTAAATTCAGAGTTTGGTATGGGCTTTTTGATCCTGGTGAATAAACTGAACTCTGAACACTGTTATATCAAGTTAAAAAATAGTTATTAACTGCCATATTGTGATTTAGAGTGGCCTAAAGTTTAAAATGGCTAGACAAATCTGTCGGATTCTAATCAAAATATCTTATTGCGGATTAAAATTGGCTTTCATTAAGGAAGTGTGTTGATGATAATCACAGATTCGATTTTATTGATTCCCCTTTTTTAATGGTGATAATTTTACCCTATTCATGTTAAATCAGTAATGGTCGGGAAGGTTGAAACTTTACTCCATACTCACTGTTAAGTGACATGAGTAAGTGAAAATCAGTAATGACAAAAGCCGTTTAGATGAAAACTAAGTATTATCGTTCGGACATTGTCTTCGCATGTGTCATTTTCAGTTTATTTTGCTTAATGATTTACATACCTCATCTTAAATATTCCAATGTAATTTGGTTTTGCAAGATATTAACATATGTCAATTAGTTGCGTTTATATATATATAGCTTTACAGACTTTTCTTCTTACTGTATGTGTAGAATAAAAATGTGATGAAGTTTGATTTTGATGGTGAGCACATTCAGTAGGATTAACTTGTCACTTTATGATTATAATTCAGTAAACATTAATTTTCTCATGTGAAACATTTGTACACGTTTGGGTGCTTTTTCAAAGCACTTGAACAATGCCAACACTTGTATATGTGGGAAGTGCAAATTTACAACATTCGGCATTGTTTCCTAGGCTGAGAGAATTCTAATACTGACTGAACCTATGTATGTTCATCTCAGACGATACTACGCTCTCGGAGCGCTTTTAATTCAACAGTGGTCAATTTTTCAGCATTATGTTATAAGGTATAGTAGTGTTCTTGCATATCATATATGTAAATGTTTATCTAACCTTAAATACTAACACATCGACTGAAAACTGTGTACACCATTATAAGTAATCCAACTAGTTAATAGGAATGTTTTCAAATGAAGTAATGCAGGAAATTAGTCAAAGTTAACTAGGATTATATTCAGTTAAACAATCAATTACTTGGGCTCCACTTAGAGACTTTCCAGGTTTACTACAGGTCTCAAACCTGTATAAAGGAAGAAGGTTAGGCATAGGATTAGCAACTCCATCCTGTAGAAAATAACCTTGCTAAAAAGAAAAAAAGACTATTGAAACCATTCAAGTAGACCGGTTAGTTGATAGTAGTGTTGGCTACACAATGACAAAATTATAAAGCGCAACATAAAAGAGTAATCTCATTAAAAAAGAAACGTATTAATCCCTACACTATAATCGAAAACTTGCACCGATTTTCATTTGACTAATAAAATTTGACCAATTAGTAATATTTTTCCTTGAAAAGCACTAGTCTGTCAATAATGTAAAGCAACATTGTATGAGACTGAAATCCTCTCTCTCTCTCTCTAAATCATTTAAAAGATTTAAATGAATTAGCCAGAAACAATGTCAAAATATCAAAAGAGTATCAAGACAAATTAAAAAGTAATCAAAATTGTTTATTTTTCGATTTGGTCATTCATATTATTTCACATAAAATCAAATACGATTATCCAATTCAGTTGGTAGAGAAAAAAAATCAACTGCATTTGTATTATACGACAAAATGTAAATGGAGAAAAGAGATTCCGATTTTATTTTCATTGCAATTCGTCTAATAAAATAACACCAGGATAAAAAAAAACTTACAAAAATGAACGAAACAGCAAAAAATAATAGGTCATTCAAAAAAACACAGACCAAGAGAAAATACCAAAATTAACATTGCAGCAATAAAAAAGAATATTTGTTTCATTTTGTCTTTCTCATCATTTTACTGGAGAATAATATATCAGGCATTATATTCATTGTCAGCAATTCATGATAAAATGAACATCATGATATAGAGATAAGCATATTTGTTAAACATGCTTCCATTTCATTAAGTGAATAATTTACTTAATTTATAAACATGATCAATATTGTGATTATTATTATTATTTTGTGATATTAAATTCAAGTTTACCATGCAAGAAGTTCATGTGTTCATTTCATCTTTGCATATGTTTGAAACTTATTTCAGTGATAAAAATGTTGAAAGAGGGAAAAAAAAGAATATTAATAATGAAAATAAGTAATAAATTTTTAATATTTTAATTAATCATCATATAAGTAAACATTGTGATTTTTGATGACACATAATGAACAAAAAATAGCTACTTATGCAACATGAAGTTCGATTCATAGAGTAATTCAATAGAAAAGGCATATTTCAGATGGGAGAAATTATTTATAGAAAATAAACTGTAACAGCAATAGTTATAATAATCACAGGAAGATAAACCATAAAATAGAAACTGAGAGAAAAATGTAGTCGAAAATAAATTAACAGATATATTTCAAAAAGATTATCAATATATTGAAGAATCAGGTGTTAAGGTTAGCTAATTAGATAATCGTGATCTATGTATCATAGTGTAGAAAGAGCACATTCAATCGATTGATTGATTACACAGCCAATCAAAGAATGAACTATCTCACAGCCAATCATTTAATAGAATGATTTAGTTTGTATACAGCTATATGTATGCGTATTTCTTGTGTATAAATAATGGGTAGAAATGTATGAATTAAAGTTAACTTATTTTTTTAACAATACAAATGATTATATTGTTTAAATAGTGGTTTTTATGGTATAAAACGTAGATGAAGCAACCAAGACTATGTATGACGAAAGCCATGAAAACAATAGAAAATGAGTCGCTTTTTATTTGGAAATAAAACAATAGATAAAAGAACAATAAGTAAGAATCATTAACATTACATTAAGCAGTACAAACAATACCAGCAGTAGAAAGACTTGTGATATAAATTGATAGTTGTTTTAAAAAATGGCATTTTTTTTAACGATAACCTTCATCGTAAAAATAATCAGTGAAGTTGAACAAAAGTAGTGGATAGTTATTGGTAACACTTGAAAATGTATGAGAAATAACAGCACATTATTAGAGAGGATGATGTTATGTTGAATATTAGACAAAAGTCAGTTATAAATTGTATTCCATGCAAAATTAACTTAGAGTAAGTGATATAAACAAAACAAAAGGAAAAGAAATAAATTGTTTACAATTAAAAAATGAAATGAAAGGCGAATAAAACAAAAATGAATTATACATTTTTACAAAATGTTGCATGTTCGTGTAGAGTTTTCACCGTTTTTCATCGACTTTTGATCTCTCAGATCAATAGTCGTTAATTCTTTATGCGATACGCTAGCTGGCCGTGGTTTATTCTTCCCGGTACCACAAGAACCATTACGTTTAACTCGACCTCGTTTATTCTTATATTTTTGATCAGGTAAAGTAGGATCCTTTTCGTATTGCAAGCCTTTGCTACGAAGAATTCGATAAATACCAGTTAGTTTGTTTTTAGGACCTTCATTTAACGCTTTGTCTAATTCGTAAGAGTCCACATCCCACCATTTTTTCAGTAGGTACCTAGCAGATGCATCATCGATCTCATCTGGAGTTGGATCTTTATGCTTCATTAGATGGTACCAATCAACATCGCTAAACCAAGCAGACGTTTTCGCCTGAGACACGGTAAATCTGCGTTCAACAGCAGCCGTCAATAATCCTGTGATTAGTGTTTGACAGTTTGGTGTAACATAGGCCGGAATTCGATAATCACTTGATAAAATTAAACGTTTAATTTTGTGTAGACTATCCCCCTTGAAAGGCAAATTTCCAGTCACCATATAAAATAAGAGAACACCAAGAGCCCAGAGATCTACAGCCGGCCCCGTGTAAGAATCCGCAACAAACAATTCAGGAGCAGCGTACGGTGGAGAGCCACAAAACGTGGTTAAGGCAGCATCTGGAGCGACACATTTGGAAAAGCCAAAGTCACCAAGCTTAACATACATATTGCTGACGATGAAGACATTCTCTGCCTTGAGATCTCGATGAACCACGCCATTATTGTGCTTTGTTTCAAAAGAATGAAAAATCAACAAAAATCATCAGGATTTCATGTTAACGACTAATGGTGAAAACTTATTTATCATACTGCCACCTGTTATGCATAACTTCGTGAAAAATTAATTTCAAATCGATAACCGTTATTTCAATAAGCACTTATAGTTATTTTTAGGATAAGATGATAAATTGTAAGGAATAGTTCAATACAATCAAGTTATTAACTTTAGAATTCCCCGATATTGTATAAATATTGCAAGATGCTAGATATGATGAAGATATATTTTAAAATGAACTGTTTCATAGTGAAGTTTTATTTTCTTATTGGATACTTTTAAAATACAGTTGTTTTATCAAAATGACTAATCAAAATATATGTTCACTTAGAAACAAAACAATCAGTTTAAGTGATGAAGTAGTAAGAATAGTATTGAAGTGGCACTTAAAGTTATCAGAGTAAAAATGCAGTTACTCACAAACGCTGACAAATGTAGAATTAGATTCACTATATCTGAAGAAGCATAAAATTCATATCGTTTAACGACAAACACTTTTGAAGCCTTGAGCGTAAAAGATAAATACAATATTTATACGTGGTTTGAAAGTAGTGTAAGAATACATAATGGTAATTAAAGACATCATTAGTAAAAATGCACGGGTAAAATGTGTGAAAAGATGATAGCAGAAACTAAAGTAGATTCCTGTAGACTTTAAACTAAATGGTGAAAATACAACAGTACTAATAAGTATCTGTATCATATAAAAAACTTTAGATACTGAGTTTTTAAATGAGTTGTTTAAATATTTAATTGAGTTTTACTGAAATTTGAAATTCTATGGTAAATTTAATTTTCCACGGATATCTCGACGATGAGCAGTCGAACATTTGAAGGCAGTTTGACCACTCAGTTCCAATTTTTTAAGGGATATGCACATTGATTTGAATATTTACTCTCCTTCCTCTTCTATCAAATTATGTTCTTCAGCAAATACATGTAATGATATGAGAACTAAACCTGATGTACCATTCAGAACAATACTTTTAATGTTCAGTTCTTCATTTCATAAACTCGCTTTTTGGTCAGCTAAACAGTTAGTGCATATTCGCAATCTTTCAAACCATGAACAGCCAGCTTTGATAATGGACATAAGTTGATATTTCAAAATCGTTCACAGTTATCAATAGACTAACATTTTTTTAAATTATTACGCCTTGCCAAGCCAATTGATATCAAAAGATGTAAGCCAGACTTATGTATTCAAAAGGACACAATGGTCACACTTGCTATGTCCTGGTGACTTTTGTGACAGTTTTATTTACAAATGAGAAATCACTTTGTTTCCTTATCTTCCTTAGTTTTATCCGAGCTTCATCTATTTTTTAATCTTAAAATCAATCCCTTTTTGTTGTTATTACAAAGTAACTTTGATAATTAATCATCTTTTCTGGAATTTTCGGAATATTTTATCATTTAAATATTTTATCATTTAAATACCTTTTATAATACTTTCATATGTATTACTGTTTATTAATCCCTATAGCTGAGAACACTTGTGATATTATGATATAAACTATGTACACTGGTTTTGTTAGTTTTAACAATGAATACTATTATTTTTAGGTTATATGAAGCCGATGAAAAGCTGTTCAATACAATGAATCTATCTCATTCTGCTACGTTTTTTTGTTCTTGCTCTATTTTTGAAATTTATCAATAGGAAAAACAGTAAGAAATTTCTTTAAAAAAAACTTTTCTGTCATATAGATGTTTCACGGAAGTAAATAGCATTTCATTCCTGAATACCAATGATTAAGTCGATGAACTTTCATTGTTTATGAGTTTAGAAACACATTGTAACAAACGTTTAATGGTTTATTAAAATTACAAGTCAATACCCTTATAGTTGAGACCGAATATGTGTAATACAACAAATAGGGAGCATTCTGAAGTTAAATACAATCGACAAATCCTAGTGTTTGTGAAATAAACTTCTAAAGATTTTAGATAACGTGTTCCTTAATTGGGTGATATTAGTTAACACGTGTTGATGAAGTTTTGAAGTTTTGTGGGTTGAGAAAAAAGATAATCTAGAAGGGTATTGAGTAGTAGTTGTACCTGACGTTATGTAGAAAGAAACTGTTTCTTATAACGGAATTAGAATCGTTACTAATTTCTTTCTTCGGTAACTACAAAAACTCCAAATTAAACTTTCTTCTATACTTGTTGACTCACTTGTTCCGTTATTTAATTGTGATAAAACAGAACTAGAAATTGTCAATATATATATATATATATATATATATATATATATATATATATGTGAATGAGAGTGAAATGTCAATAAAATAAACTAGAACTAGTTTACAGAACAAGTTTGTACGGTTAGTACCTATTAGTCAAGTGTAGTTGTTTTGATATTTTATGACAATACAAATTTTACGTAAACAGCATGTTTGTTTATTTATATATGCAGTAAGATATACCTACACAGATGTATAGAATTAAGAAGTAAGTCGATTTAGATGAAATATGTATGTGTGAAACGTTTACAGGCCTGTAATCAGATGGATCGAAATTACTAGTTGTATATGTGAAATTCTAATGAAATTCAATTGTAGTATTCAAGGCACTGACATAAATTAGCATTTAAAAATGTTTAGAATTTAGACTGATCAGTATTCAAGTAGTCGAATACAATCACTTGAAGAAGTTCTCTATACTATCAAAGCTTATTATCTAATCTGATCATTTGTCTCCTTTTTTCTGTCTATATCTGATAGCTAAGCTTATTCATCAAGTTTGATTCAGTTGTCTAAAAGAATTCAGTTATTAGGGTTTCACAATCTAAACTATCTCAATTTCGGTGTTCATTAAAGTGGGTTAGTTTTATGTTTATTCTTTAAAATAGATTCATTAAAAACTTTAAGTTATTTCTTAAGGATCATAAGTAAAAATCTATCATCGTCATTAATAAATGTTTCCTTCACAAGTCAACAAAACCGTTTATATGTAAACCAAGAATATATATGTGACAAGCACATATCATTGATCCAGTTAGACATCTTGAAAGTTGTCATGAGTATGAGAGTCAACATTACGATGAAATTCCATAGATAAATTGTTGGACTAACAATCATCCAAAAATCACTTTTTTTATATTAGTAGGCATTTATGATAATGGATTAAGATACAGTTCTTTTGAATAGTTTATGAAGCTTGTTAATAAAATATATTTTACAAATGCATTTAATTTAAGTCTAACAATTTTCTACAGTACTCGAAGTTTTTAACTTTAGATGTCAATGGTATATTTAAGAAAAATATAACATACTTCTTGAAAGAGAAATAAACTTACACTAGAAATATACAGATAGAATGTATAATGTATGTGCTTAATAATTTATTTACTCTGTAAAATGAAAATGATGACAGCGTTTACAATAAAAGTGAAATTACTCCAAACGAGACATCTGCGCTGACTAGTTACTTGCATTAATTTTTTAGATAAGATCATAGTGGCAAAGAAATCTAGGCTCGAAATCTCTCTCACTATATATATATATATATATATATATATATTTATATTTATATTTATATGTATGTGTATTGTATATTTTTGAGTGGTCATGACTGAGTTCTATTGTCGGCTATACTATCATGAAACAATTCATACGCTGTTATAAAAAGACTGGAATATAATTTTCATTGATAATAGTAAGAAGCTCTGGTAAATCTATCTTTTAAAAACGAACTAAAACTTAAGTAAAATGATGTTGGTAAATGCACATTTTGATAATGTATAGAATTTTGAAATGGGTGATAGAATACTTTTCTTGTTGCAATGGATCATTCATTTATTGCTACTGCTGCAAGTTATTGACAAAGTTTAATAATAAACAGAAAAACGAGTATTTTGCACAAAAATAAAAGAAATTCCATATACTTTCATCTTAATTTCATTGGTAGGCGAATCGGCATTTCCTTTTGAAATATTTTGTTTTCTTGATTTCCACAGATTCTTCATCGAATTTCATATTCATAAAATGATCTGTACCTTCCGCAAAAATCCACACTTTTTCCTCATCTCTGATAAATATAGTTTCCAGTAGATTATAAATAAAAACAGTTATTATTGAGAGGCAGGAAACTAATGAACATTTAAATGATAATGTTTAGTTCAAACTATTCAACATTATAAAATGAATAACGTATGCCAGTGTACGTGTCTGTTCAGGCGGATCATATTTTTTCAGTCAGTCAGGTACAACGTAACTTTGTAAGTATGCTTGTCAGTTCAAGTCACCATACTGCATCATTTTTTGTAAATGCAAAATATTGTCGATGAGTGTATCTAACCTCATTTTTGTTTCACTTATATTGTTCTCATTATTGTTGATAGTTACTTAAAAAAATTGAAAGTAAAACTTTCCATAGATCAATAAATTTTTGTTTTCAATTAAAGTTCACTGAAATTTAACTTATTACTCAATATAATTATAGGTTAGAATATAAAACAATGGGGTATAATCTGTGGATATACAAGTCAGGCTTTGTCAAGTTTAGTGTTTATTTTAGTTTTATCTGTAAATAAAACAGCATTGCATAATATTTTGTTAACTGACATTCTTATGTATCTTAATAAAATTAATAGAAGAAAATACCAGTATATGCTCAAATGTATGGATGAACTAGACGGTTTGCTTTGAAGCAATAATGTTTATGTATATGTAAATCGATACGAAACAGGTCGGGGAACAGAATCGTTCTCGTCATAACGACTTATGCTAGATTTGAATTTCAAAGCAGCAGACTGAAACATGTTTTGTTATAAACATAGTCCTTTCCCTTGTTGAATGTTGCACTAAGTACATAGGATAGACTTTATTAAATATGTAAGGTTAGAGTTAATTATTTAGAAATATCATCTACAAAAACAAATCATTTGTACAAATTTTAAATAGCTAAATAGCTGTTAGTAATTATTAAAACTTTCAGAGAGTTGGGTCATATATTATCCCTATCTAACAAAAGCCGAAGTTTACATGTTATACTGGATGATTTAGTATTAAGCTCATCATTAGAAATAAATATCCCAGAAAACTCAAGACTTTCAGAAGCATCCACGTCAACTACAAATGTTCGATAACATTTTAATATCTCTAGGTATAAACTTCCTTTTCGGGATCCGAGCTACGATACTAATCTATAACTGAATTTTCTGGATGACACCGCAGAAATAACGATATGGTGGCTTCCTTTATTGACTGTCCTCTAAATCTCTGAATCATAGTCATTTTGTACCCTTTTACTTTTCCAGCCCATGCGTAATTTCCAAACCACATATTTGGTGATTAAATTTTCCTAGAAAAAACCATCACTATTTCATTTGATTTTCATTTTTAACCTCATCAATGTAAGTTGCGGAGACTAGAATTAGTGTGCATTCGTTCCAAGTTCGATTTCGTTTAAGACTGATTTAATTTTAGCGGTTTGCTCATTTCGAGCTGATTCTAAATGGTTACCGGTTAACAGAGACAAATATCATAATATCACTATGGGAATTCCGAGGAGTAGTAAATAAATGCAGTGACCTAAATAGTACGTGATAGAAGCCATCTTCTAACTAATTTACAGAGAAAAACAGATAGAAAGCAAACTGATTACTGTCTAATTCAATATCTATTTGTATTTTATATTCTCGAGCGAATATAGCTGAACAACGATTAAACATAAAAGACCAATGTACTAGTAGTTTATACTTAATATCCCATTTGAGACCGAACTGGGGAGATGATACTTTAAGGTAACAGTCTGTCTGTAGATCAAATACGAATGAAATTAAATTTCCTATAAGGAAATGTAATATTACACTAATTATTAACAGTATTCAAAATCATTTAAGCAAATGAATTCTTCTCAATGAATCATTTGTAGAAATCCTTGGAAATGGAACCAAAATGTTTTAACATATACTTTTACAGTTTCGTGAATTTTTTACGTACATTAAGACATTATTTTTCTATCGGTTCCTATGATGTAATTTAATAAATATTGCGTTGCTGAAGAGCTTGACAAACAGTAACATGTCCATGTTTGAAGGTAATATTAAAATAAATTTCAAGCTACATTAATCAGTCCACACAATTTTAAAGCGAGCAATTTATTTGTGTTTGTAAATAGTTTGAACAACCCTTGAACGAGCGCACTGAGAAATTTATTGTTAATTATTAGCTTTAGATGTTGTTTTCCGTAGCTGATTATTCAAAGAGTAGATGATGAAATCTTGAAATTGCGTTGATTTAATCAAACACTGGTATATATATATATATATATATATATATATATATGCGTAAGTCTTTAAGAATGAACAGTCGGCGACAAACGAGCATGAATAGTCAGTTGAAATAAGATGAGATAATTGATAGCCTAGCACAATAAAATATAATCAATTTTTGTAACAAATTTTACCACTGAAACTACATATATCACTGAATTGAATGTTTATAAACTGATAAGATTCAAAATTTTAAACAGTTTCAGAACTTTTCGTTACATTGTTTAGTCAACGCGTAACGAAATGTTGCATCTGGAAATAAACTATGTAAATATTGGAATACTTAAATAATGTATTCAGAATATTTTTTTTTGCATCACCTTATTTTGGCAATAATCTACTGAAGTTCTATTGGGTATCGTAAATATTTTTGCCTAATTTTCACTTAACTAATTTTTATATGGACGATTATTCATTCAATTCCTTTCTTCTTCTTCAATGAAAACATGTTTTAGTACATTTATTCACATTCTATACACAAATAAATTTTATTTTATATTATTGCTTCTTATAATATAAATAATTTATTACATGTTTTGTTTGAATACAATTTAACAATAGATCATTATTATGTATGAACTAGTGTTATCATGTAAGTAGCTAACAGATAAAAAAAGAAAACTACATAATAACTTGATGATATTTTAAAAGTGTTATCATTCAAATCATTTCACTTAAATTGATAAAGCACAACAAATTTTAGTCTAAATATCAATTAGAAAAATAAGACACTTAATCTTTCTTGTTAGTTTTAAATTCTGTGTGGAATACTTATCAAACGTAAATATCATTGACGTCTCAACAATTAACAACACTCAATAAACATCATAGTTAAAATCACTGTAATTGACGAAGTGTCTCAATGATCAATGCTGAAGGTATGATTTGATTTATATATGAATGGCAGTTTAATTTGTGAAAAGCGTTCAATAGTTATTCAGAAGCTGTTACGAAATACACAGTAGGCGAAAACTAAAACTATGGTGTGTAGTTTTTACAGGATACTTAATTAAAAATAGTAATAAACACCGTGTTCAGTTGTAGCTCTTTACATCATCAAAGTTGAGTAAGAAATACTTAGCTCAAAAATATTTTATTAGTGACAAATGCTAATTTTCTTTCTAAACAAGTTATATAGACTTCTGCTCTAATTTGTGCGACAGCTGTAAACTTTTATGCTTCTTAATTACATATTTTAAGAGGATAATATGTTAGTATATTGGAAATATTGTTGTGCTGTATCTTTTGGAGACTGTGTTGTTTTATTAATTTGCGGATAAATTTTACTGTAATATCCACATTAATAGCTAAATTAGTCCGAGCAAATATTCTTTTTTTTAAGCCTGGCCACTATGTTATACCTAAAAATAAGATGAATGATATAATTTACTATTAACTTGGTGAAAATCTAGGTTTTGTAGCTTCATAATTTAGCTTTACTAAACTTGATAGTCATCTGTTAGTTTTGTTCTCAGTGAAGACCTAACTAATAGAAGGTGACTTCTATTAATTATCGCATAGTTCTTCCCTAATTCTTCATCTCTCAAGACGATTCTTTGAATCCAGATGTCAGTCAGAAAGTCGATGTTAAGATTTAAAGCAAAACGTAGTTCAGTAGCTGAAGTAAAACAGTATCCTTTGGTAGCCGATATTAATTCACGTCCAGTTGGGTTACAAATGCTGAAGAGATAGAATATTACCTCTTGAGTAGATAATGATCTCAATTTGTCTAAACAAATGCCAAGAGTTGGGTAATAATATTTGAAAGTTAAATAATTCAAACGTCTGATGAAATAGCAGTTGGTACAGACAACATATCGATGGCATGTGAGCAAAATATGTTTTTATTAATATCGTGTGTTTTGAGCTGGATAATTAAGTTACGAATCTCTTGTTACCTTAAGGAACAGTAAGCATTGATTTAACAATAAAAACTCTGTTGTTAAATCATTCAGCTTCAAGAAATTAGCATTAACAAAAACATCCACCTAAGCCACAACTTTTCCCTATCAGTGAAGAAATACGTATCTCAATGAGGTATGACGCTATCTTCTATAACTATTATTAACAGGTTATAAAATCAAAGAAACAATAAGGCATAAAGTTGTAGAGATATTTTTGTGCTCTATAAATTTGGTAGGTTACATATTATTCAGTTGTGAAAATATTCTACAGAATAAACCTGAATATCTCCGAAGGACATAATGGTTTCAAGAATCATTAGCAATTTTACACATAAACAATAAAATTCTGATCAACCTAAATAAAACTTGACGAGACTGCATGACTTATGAAAAAATCGTATTCAGTGCTTTAAGCAAGATGACCACAGTTTGAAACTGGTATTCTTTACCAATCAAGATATGGCTTGTTGGTTAATACGAAAAATTCAAACCGAAAAGATTCACCTATCTAAATGATTCACCTAAAGTTTTTCTTGTCTCATTGTCCCTTTGTTCACAATGTATAATTTAAAAATGGGCAATTAAACAACTGATAAATAATTTAAATAACTAGTTGATATTAGCTAGATCACCACTTGGAAGTCCTAAATGGCCATCTCGTTCTAGTACGGGACTTATTGACAGTGCACATTAACAACACGGCATCTGGCAATAAAAGTGAAGACCTTCAGTGTCGCCCATGGACAATTCATCTATTGACTTCTGAGCCGGTGTTTAACGGTTGTATTACTACAAATACTGAAATACATTTACCGTCTAATTGACTCAAATATACTGAGACACATGATGTGGAAAACTGACTATTGATGACCGCTTTGGATTTTGAACACTGTTGACAATTCACGAGTTTATATCTAATGAACTATGAGTTACTATGAGTATTGAAGATAATATTATCACACTGATGATTTAGAGATTCTAAATTAACAAAGATATGTCAAAATGAACACAATTTCAAAGGTGAGAAGAGGATATACACCGATGATTTTGATGTATGACATTCTTCTGACTACAATGAAGTACTTTAAAAAATCATTAATAAAATATAACTTTTACCAGAGAACAGTATTTGTTCGGTTTTTCTAATGCATACAATCACTCATTCTTTATTTTATGTATCATTCATTAATCAATACAATTTTCAAGTCTTTATAATATCAAACACTGATGAGAATTATACTTGCTTGAATTGACTTGTCATATGTAATACAACATATAACTGAACGATCAGTATTAAAATTTAAACTTAATGAGTGTGATAATTTCGTAAGGTGAATATGGCTTTTGGAACTCAATTCCATAACTTTTTCAAGCTTTTATCTGTGCTTAAATAATTCTAATACGTACGTTGTACTTTTTCATTTGACCAGTTAATAAAATTTATCATTTAATTATTTTAATATAAATAAATATATGTATATATTGAGCTGATTCAATTAAACAACTTACTAAATGATCAAGCGCAGAAAGTATTTGTGAAGAATAATTTTTAGACGTTTTTTCATCCAATCGACCGGATCGTTTTAAATATGAATTAAGTTCACCTTTAGGAGCATATTCCATAACTAAATGCCAACGTTGTAATACTTCATGTGCTTCATATGCACGAATTATATGTGGATGGTGTAAACGTTCCATGTTTGTTAGTTCTTGAGAAAGTAAACGTCGAGTTTTTTCATCAAACTTGGTTCTATCAATTACTTTGACCGCAACTTCGACTGGTTAACAAAAATAGGATAAAAAAATGTCAATAGTGGTGAAGAGAAAAGTGTATTTTTTAAATAAATAGAAAATTTTCATCAGATAATACGTCGGTTAGAAATTTTCAAGTGAATTTATTTCTTTTTTTAATCGAAATGACCAAGTTTAAGATTAAGTTTCTAAAAATCTAATAACGATCCATGACTAGTGATTTTCACCAGTATCAGGTACGTGACAGCTACTTATGGAAGACGGTATAAAATGGTTGCGAAATGTCTCAAAATGATTGATTCTGGGCAAGTCCAACATTAGATGAAGGCGCAGGCGTTTCAGCGTTAGGTTTTCGATTCGAGAACCGAGTGTTTTATGTTTGATTCATGGTGATGGCACAAATGCGCTGTGGCTAGTAGTCCCATGCCACGGCGAAACATCTCTCCAGTGTTTCCTAGTTTTTAGTGATTATTTAATTTAGACTGGTTCATGATCGCAATGATATAAATAAATTTTTTTCGGTTTGTTCATTGTTTTATTAAGTCTCGGACGACGAACTTGATTTCACACAACGTTTCCTAGATAAAGAGTAATCTTTCGAATATTTGTCGAATGTAAGACAGCTACCAACTATGGCAGTGAATAGTGACGTTATTTCGTAAACTGACTAAGAATAGAATTGGCAAGCATTGAATATCACTCAGTTATCCAAATGTAAAGGGACTCTGTGGTAACTAAATATCCTCGGTTCGATTCCTCTCTAGGGCATGAATGCGCGTTAGTGAATATTGATAAATATATGATCAAGATTTTTGTCTACCATATGCACACAATAAAGTTATGTAGATTATTATTTTATAAATGTTTAAAGTAAGATCAAGCATATTTATTGAGTGTTAGCTTTAGTAAATGTATTTTAACTTAAATTTCTCAACCGAACAATTTGACACTCACTTTTTCAGTCCTAGAGACAAAGAATATTAGTTTAAATCACAAGCTAAAGAGTGTTAAAACATTTTTTGAACCAGTGGTTAAAATAAATTTTCTCTGGTAGGTTATTATTTTATTCTGCTTGTGACTAAACACTAAAATTTTCGTGCGCACTTTACGTTAATGAGAATAGCGTAGTTATAACTGTTAGTTAAACGCTGCAATCATATTTCTTAAATAAAATACACAAGTCGTAATTTTATTTTGAGAAATTTTGTAGAAAAACTAGAAAATTGTTAGCATGTATAATAAAGGTATTTTAAAGATTTGAAGTCTGTAAACTATCATATTGTATCAAACTTAATTGACTGTATTCGTTCAAATGCCATTTACGAAAATTAGTTGATCGATAAGACTGGAACTTACGATAAGATTATCATAAGCTTATGTTATTTTTTATTTCGTTTAAGTGTCGCTATAATTAACTATGGTAATTACCAATACAGATATTTTCTTTCAAGTGTGCTTAAATGAAACAAAAGAGAAACAGACATTTGTAAGTTAAAAACGGTTCTTCAAAAATATTTAAACAAATACCTTTTAGGTTTTAACCGAATGCCTAAAGCCTTTAAGGTAACAATTATGTTGAATCCATCTTTTTTATACTTCTTATTTAAAAGTAAGTATGGTAGAGCCTCATGAAATGGATCTAGTTTGTTTAGTATGCCAAAAAGATCAATTAACAAAAAAACAGAGTAATTAAATTATTAGCAATAATCTGACATCTGACTATATATGGTGTTTCTCGAATTTTGTGCTTCGTATCGCTTATTTTAATGATGCCTGATATAACGTGTACTAACACGAATTTTTATTAATCCGGATAAGAGTAGTAATTTCAGTTGAAAACAAGAGCATGTGTGAAAAAGCAGCATTTGAGAATGAAAATTATGTATGTCGTAGGTGAATTTACTGGAGAGGCTCAGCAACTTAAATATAAACAGGCTGCTTTTGGAAAATTAAATATATCTACTTAGTGTAATCGTGGTGGTTTTTCATTCTCTGAGCTAGATGTTTTGGTTTTGGAGCTTTCATTGTTCTTCTGAACCACATAATCAGTACAAACGTCAGCTAAGAAAACGAAACACCACCACAATCACTCACCTGAACTGAAAATTTTCTCCACTTAGTTTAATCGTTGTAAGATCTCACAGGAAATCATAATTCTGACTGATTGCTAGCTTAATTTTTGAATAGTTCAAATAGGGATCCACTGATCTTTGTGATAAAAAAAATTTTATGGTTATGATTAGGCCAAATTTAGAAAAACAGATTGAATTTATTCAGAAAGTTAGGTCAAATAAAGAAAAACTTTGCACAGGAATTTTCAAGAAAAAATATGCGAGAAAAATAAAATCATCAAATTCATTACGTGATAAATTAAAACTACTCCAAATAATAAAAGAAGACACTGTCATTTGAAAACTTTATGGAATAATGTAATATTTTTGCACAATATTTATTATGCTATTGAAGTATGCCATTAATGATTGATGGCTATTGTTTATTTAACATGACGGCTTTTTATGTCTTCGGCAATATTTAAATATACAGATTTAAGAAGTATACGTGTTCCAAGCAATATTTTCACAGACAATCAAAAACTGAATGTTGTTGATGGTAAGCAGTTGTGTCAAAATAACTTTCTTACCTGTCTTTATTCTTTGTGAATTTTATTGTTGTGAGTGTCTTCTATGGTTTATAAGGTAATATTTATTGTACATTTAACTACTTTTGAAATATTTACGTAAAACCTAAAAATGGACGAAGTTGTTTCTGTGAAACGTTTCTTTTTTTCACATGATCTTACTTCAAATATTTAGACTGTGTAAGAACAAATAGACATTTCGCGTAGTTGACTGGTTTGTATATAGTTTTTTTATCGGAAAATATTAAGCTGAAGTGATGTAAAAAATTGTTAACTTCGTTATTTTGAACATGTTTAATTTTATATTTCTTAAAAAAGAAAATGAATGTTTGGTTTCAAGAAGAGTAAAAGTGTTCTGTGTGTCGTATTCAATAACCTTACTTGCTGAAACAAAATGCTAATAAATCAATCTTATTAATAATTTAATAATAATTACAGAAATTGATCTTTCATGAAGTATAATTAACATCAGACTATTTTTTATTATACTAGTAAGTCCTATATCATACATTAGATAAATTTACGAAAAATGTTTGTCTAACATGCTTCTTTGTAAGATTTAATTAACAACTAAGGTCAAGTATAAAAACATTAGCTTAGTAAAAAATAATTAATGTATGATGAGTGGTAAACTGATTGTTTATAAAACAGTATACAAATATCAATGATCAGAGAGTAAAAATAACTTGAATCAATTTTATTCATATGACGACTAATAAATATTCTATGCCAAAGTTACACAGACATAGAAGAATTCAAAATTGTTTGAAAGCCAAATACCGCCAATCTAGTTAAGCAGTTATTAGATATTATGTATGCGCAACTTTTGTTTTATCATTTCGTTACCTAAATACAAATTCCAGGTCTTAAATAAATCCATTCTAATCTAGAGTAATTTTAAAATGTTAGCTTTCATTTAGAAATATTTAAATATGTGTCTACCAACAATAATTAGTGAGGCCAACAAGCTTCACTATATTTTCACTAACAATCTTGTAGAACAAAAAGATAACTTAATAAAAGTAAATAATAAAATATTATCGTCATGACAACAGTAATAAATATCGAATATAATAGAAAGTTGAACATGATGAACCTAGAATTTCCAAAACTGATGGGTAATGAAGACCTTTCTTAGTTAGATAAGTGAATTTTACGGTAATATTCTTTGTAAATTTCCAACTAACGACTGTTGAAAGACATACGGTATTAAAATAATGTCTTTCAGTACTAATCTGATTCCAGATTATCTGCATAGTTTGTTGACAGAGATACATATGTAAGTACTAATAGTAATTTGGGCGCTCTATGATAGTTAACAAGAATTTACTATTTAACGGAACGCCAGTTTACCTGCATCAACAGAAAATTTAAGTTGAAGTAGTAGATATGTAGTATCAAGTAAATAATATTAGTCACACAGTTCACAGTACAAAGTATAATAACTTTCGGGATTAATTACTTAATTACTTGCACCTGTTGCCCCAATGGAGCATAGGCCGCCGACCAGTTTTCGCCAACGTTTTCTGTCCTGGGTCCCCCTTCCCAGGTCTATTCAATTTTCTTTTATTCTTCACATGTCTGTCTCCATTCCTCGGCGTAGTCTGTCACTTGGCCTTTTTCTTTTCCTTTAACCTTGGGGGTTCCAAGTGAGGGATTGTCTTGTGACGCAGTTGGGTGCCTTTTGCAGTGTATTCTATCTACTTCCACGGCTTCTTCCTGATTTCTTCCTCCACCGGAATCTTGTTTGCTCCTTCCCACAGTATGTTGTCGCTGATGGTGTCTTGCCAATAGATCCGAAGTATTTTGCGTAGACAACTGGTAATGAATACTTCTATCTTCTGGATGATCATTTTCGTGGTTCTCCAGGTTTCTGCCCCATGCAATAGAACTGTCTTGATAGTCGTATGAAAAATTCTGACTTTGGTCTTTATTGATAGTTGTCTTCAGTTCCAAATCCTCTTCAGCTGTAGAAACTCAGCCCTTGGTTTGCCAATCCGCACCTTAACATCTGCATTAGATCCACCTTGCTCTTCGCTGATGCTGCCAAGATGTGTAAAGGATTTTACGTCCTCCAAGGCATTTCCATCATGAGTGATTTGGTTGGCGCACGTTGTCTTGTATTGGCAAATCCTGCTTTTCTCCTTATGAATGTTGAAACCTGCTGCTGCTTAGGCTGTTGCTACACTGACCATCTTCTCCCGCATTTATTGCGTGTGCGATAGAAGAGTCGGATCATCAGCGAAGCCCAGATCATCCAGATTCGTCCTAGCTGCCGCTGTATACCATGCTTCCCTCCAGATATTGACGTCTTCACAATCCAGTCGATCATCAGGTGAAAGAGAAAGGGTGAGAGTAAGCAACCTTACCTAACACCAGTCTTCACCT